ATGTGACCGAATACAGGTTTTACCGAAAAAAACAACACAACATTCTTAATTGGCATACTAACGTGTTACTCGGCACTTGGAAATAATCATCTGCTTTATTTTACACCACATGTGATGAAACTCGTGACTTTATTGTTTACATATTGGTAATAATGGCTATTTAATTAGTTGAAGTCTTGTTATGACCAATAAAACAGTTACGTTTTAAAGTGGCCAAATACCGATTGATGCAAAATCGAAACTGGTTTTTCGAAAATGTTTTAACTAATAACAGTACATGATATGATTTGATAAAATCTGAAATAAAATGTTAATTTCTACTTAAAAACTGTTAAACAAGTCTAATTTGTCACTTAAAAATATCCCTTTTAACAACTTTTTTTACTTTAAATGACTACGCGTTTTACTCGCTAGAGATACATGAATAAAAGGATTTGATTAGAAGCATATTTTAGCTTCCAGAAGCCATGAAGTGTTCATGGCAACATAAAAAGCGCTAACCAAAAGTAATAGCTAAAATCTGGCGTCGCACCGAAAATTTAAAAGAGCTTTTGTAATATTTAGTTTTTGGGTATTTACAGGCAATTATTTATATACTTTATGAAAATTCGATAACCGCTATAAGTAATTTAATTTCCATAACTGTTATCTGAAGCGTTTCGAATGGAAAATTGTTGTTTTGCGGATTCCGTTTTATCTAGGTAGTGGCAAGACACAAGCTTCTCAACAACCAACTACTAGTACTTCTCGCAAGTATCTCAAAAATTGTTTTTTTATCTGAAATATGTTTTGGAGGTCAGTGTGTGACGATGTGAAGAACGAAATATTAAATCAGTACCAAATTAAAATTCGTATATTTGATGTGATTATATTACATTAAGGTCTTGAGGTAGAAATGCTGTTTTGTGTTTTGATTCTTTAATGTCTGCCTGTATGTGGGTACCCACCATGTTTCCTACATTAAGCGGACAGGAGCGTAAGCTAAATATTTTAATATATTTTTTTGTTTATTAACTAACTAAATAACACATATGCAGGGTGGTTTTTCAGTACGATAGAGTCCATTATTTCCAAAGGTGTTAAACTTTCGAAAAATAGCTTCATATGAAAGTTGCTGACGCACAAAGTGCGCACATTTCAAAAATATCTTATATGATACAGAGTGTCTCAGAAAAGCCAGACAAGATCAAAGTGTATTTTGTTAAATAGAATTATCCATTTTTCATTAGCTTGTGGAATGAAGCTTGAAATGGTGCATATGCACCGTAAATTGTTTTTTTCTTACTTACGACGTTGGCAGACTATCGCGATTTCAGTAATTTTTTTCTTAAAAACATGGTATTTAAAAATTAGTTGTAGAAGCAACAAAAAGCAGTTAGAAATACAAAAAAACACGTCGTTCCATTCACCACAGATCCGTTAAGAATTCTGTTGAACCAAAATATCAATATATTGTACAAGGTGTTAACAATGTGGACTTCAATCTAAAACTTTTTAACGCAATATAACTTTGGTTTTTCAATTGGAAGTACCTGTATATTAATACGTCATTAGATAGACAATTTACAAAGTTGCAAATCTGCATTTACACTTTAAGCTCTGAAATCAACCGTTTTCAAATTATAATTTATTTTATTTAAAAATTTCAAAAAGAAGCTACATTTTGTACGTTGGCTATGGAAGTCAATAAATAAGTGTCAAAATTTGAGTTGCCACGTTTAATTGATCATTTACCTAATTATATCAAGGAAAGAATGTGGTATTTAGAGGGTGGAGCTCCAGTTCACCATACAGCTCAATTTTTTTGTATCTTTAACTGTTTTTTTTTGCTTCTACAATGAATTTTTAGATGCCATGTTTTGGAGCATAATTTTCCTAAAATGTCGATAATGTGCCTTTGCAAGTAAGAAAGAAACAATTTACGGTGCATATGCACCATTTCAAGCTTCATTCCACGAGCTAATGAAAAATAGATAGTTCTATTTAAAAAAATACACTTTGATCTTGCCTAGCTTTTCTGGGACACTCTGTATCATATAAGAGATTTTTAAAACGTGCACACTTTGTGCGTCAACAACTTTTATATGGAACAATTTTTCGAAACATCAACACTAACGGAAATTATGAATTCTATCGCACTAAAAAACCACCCTGTATATCACTATCGTTAGTGGACATTTAGCACCACAAGGGCAAACATCTTCAGTTTTTCTACTGACCCAGCAAAGTGAATTAGACTTTTTAGCAGTTAATCAAGCGAAAAACTGCATCAAACAGTTCTAGAGTTGAAATGACACAAGTTCAAAAAGGTAGGTACCTACACTACTAAAGGGTGCTTGGCTTTACTAAAACCACTAAGATTTTCCACTCTACTTACACGTTGATCAATCGAAATTGATTCCTAGAACTATAGTTTAATATCTACAATTTCAAAATGTAAACTTCAGAACCCAGACTGTAGGCTCCATCTGAGTGACAATTACGTAAGAAAATTAATGCGTAGGTATATGATGATCACCTCATCGAAAGATTTGAGATCGTGAGGCGCACTTCGCTCAAATGAATTCTAGAAAGTAGAAGCTTCTGGCATTAATTACTCGTCAGGTCTGGACTCACTCACTTAAATTGTTTTTCTGAGACATCAGTTTATTTTCAGATAATTGTCTGCTTCCCGCTTAACTAATTTTCTTATTTTGTATACCCGTCACCACTTGCTACATAGTGGAACAGAAATATGTAGAGAACTACCACCCATCATTAAATAAACAGTATCAGAACGGAAACAGTATTATTATACGACAAAAACTTAATTTTCTGACTGATTAACTGCAAAATTTCTGACTGTATTCAGGTTCATTGTTTTTGGCCACTTTTCTGATGTCGATAAAAATTACAGCAATTGAGAAGGGAAGTCAAAAACCAGCCTGTACTCTAAGTCATCCTGATTTCAAAGGGCATTTCAAGCACGCTGATGAACGCCGTCTTAATCACCTAGCGCTTGTTTGCAATCTTCTGGTTCTGGTTCTTCTAGAAGCTAATCTGCAATGTGACAAGCCTGGAAAAATTAAGTTTTCCCAACCAAATTTTGAATTGTGTTTATTGTAATATCAGTTTCAAATCAAAAAGAGTTTTTATTCTAGAAATTTCCTGTATTTGTTGTTAACTGCAGATTTAATAGTTGACGATTAACAAGCAACTCAATTAGGCACTCATTTTTCATTCATCTAAGTTATTTAAGTTGTTAAGAGATGTTTGCAAACCTTAATAAGGGGCTACTAGACTAGACAATGGCTGCGTTCCGTTAGTGAAAAAAATGAATTTTTGAGAATGTTAGCATTATAATCAGCAATAAAATATCAATGTTTTCATTTGAAGAATCAACTTATGTGTTGTATAATCGTAGCGTTCTGAACTAGAATAAGAACAGAGAAACTATTTTGTAATGTTTCAATATTAGTTTGGATTAACAAAGTAGCAGAAATTTTAAGGTTCAATGATTCTTCTGATATTCAATTGTCATAAAAAAATAAACCACTTGAAAAATGACGCACACTGTCAAAATGGTACGTTTGAGTTAACATGTACAGGAGATACCTAATAAGCTCAGACAAGACTTGAATTTACAACTGAAATCCGAGTAAGTAGAAGTATACAGGGTCCGTCTTTGGGAGCTTACACTAGAAGTATTCGCCAAACCAAAATTACCAGAGTTCTGAAAATTCCAATACAAGGTAACGATGTTGTGTAACGATTTTCAAGGCGGTACCACTTCCGGTTATACCGGAAGTAGGTACTTACTCGCTAATTTTTAATGGAACACCCTGTATATTATTACATTTTTGAATTCTCGGTCATATTTTTGGGTCATTTTGTTAAATGAGCTGGGTACAAAATTTCAACCGTTGTGGTATAATATCCATTTTTCCAAAAAATTGGCAGGTGCAGCCTTGGAAATAATTCGTTGTTCCGCCTATTTAGGTCAATCAATTTGAATATAACTTTAGCTTGTGGTAGCCAAAGGTGCCGTGTCTCAATGTGCCAAAAATGAGTTTTGCATCCCTTATAAAAACTGTCAAAAAAGGCATTTTACCCAAAAAAGTCAAATGGAAACCCCTATTTTTTCTATTCAGATCGATTTAGTGACAAAAATTAAAGCAAGTTTATAAAAAGGTTTATGAGGCAAAACGTAACCGTTTCATAGTTGGTCGCTTCATGGTCGCTTTGTTGATTTTTGTGCCTGCAGAATTCCACTTTA